ATAATAGCAGCCTCTTCCTACTGTGCCAGGGAATGCAGCATGATGGGGTCTAGAGGTAGGGCTCCTAACACCCACGTGGGAGACTCACATGGAGTTGCAGGTTGCTGGTTTTGGCTGGCCAGACCTGGCTGTTGCAGGTATCTGGGGAGCAAATGGCATGTAGAAGATCTCTTCCCCACTTCTGGCCCCGGCTCGCTGGCCTAGCAGCTAAAGTCCTCGCCTTGAACAAGCCTGCTTCTCATATAGACTCTGGTTCTAATCCCGGCAGCCTCATTTCCCATCCAGCTCCCTGCTTGTGGCCTGGGAAAGCAGTCAAGGATGACCCAAAGCTTTGGGACCCTGCACCCGTGTGGGATACCAGGAAGAATTTTCTGGTGCAGCACTGGCCATTGCGGTTACTTCGGGAGTGAATCATGGGATGGAAGATCTTCCTCTCTGTCTTTCCTCCTCTATATATATATCTGACTTTGCAATAAAAATAAATAAATCTTATTTTAAAAAAAGATCTCTGGGGCTAGCAGCGTGGCCTAGTGGCTAAAGTCCTTGCCCTGAACACACCAGGATCCCATATGGGTGCCAGTTCTAATCCCAGCAGCTCCACTTCCCATCCAGCTCCCTGCTTGTGGCCTGGGAAAGCAGTCGAGGACAGCCCAAAGCTTTGGGACCCTGCACCCGCATGGGAGACCCGGAAGAAGTTCCTCGTTCCCAGCTTCGGATCGGTGCAGCACTGGCCGTTGTGCTCACTTGGGGAGTGAATCATTGGACAGAAGATCTTCCTGTCTCTCCTCCTCTCTGTATATCTGACTTTCCAATAAAAATAAATAAATCTTTAAAAAAAGAAAAAGATCTCCTCCCCTCTCACTCTTGCCATCTTATCCTTCGGCCTTTCAAATCAATCAATGAATCATTCATTAAAAAAAAATACGTATCTTTTTACTTTTCCTCCTGCAACTATGGCAGAGGACTAGGGTCTCTTTTTTCCACTTTTCCTCCAGCCACTATGGCAGGGGATAAGGGTCCTTTCTGTCTCAGAGCCCCCTCCTGTCACTAGGACGGGAGTCTCCTTTCTCAACTTTTCTAATAAATCTTGGTTTAAAACTAAAATATATAACTAAATAAAGCAAGCTTACATATTAAAAAAAGAAGAAGAAACAGAATAATACATGAAAATAAAAGGGCTTACAATAAAAACAATGTGGTCAATAAGAAGCTATTAATATAAAAAGTTCCTAGCAGCCAGAACTTTGAAACTGATGCTTCTAGAAGTCTAAGTTATCTGAAATTGGTTAGTACATTATTTTTGTAAGACTGTGTTCGCATCATGCACAGACTGAATACCTAGGGCAATGTTAACATAACTCAGCAGATACAGGAATGTAGAAGACCCAATACATAAACAGGATCGAGTGTCAGAGAAGACAGTTCAAAGAGAGTATCTGGTTGAAGGAGAAGGATCCCATATTAGGAAGAAGGTCCCTTCATCTGATAAACCTCAGTTCCACTTTAGCATAGGGAATTGGCTATTTCTGACTTCATAATCCATGGTAACTCCATGAACAAAATATAATAAGGACTCCACCACTAAAAGTGATAGAGTGATCTACACTGATCTATTCAAACTAGAGTTTTATTTTTACATTGAATAGATTTTTAATTATCATATGTTTGAAAGAGAAGAGAACTAAAAGGCCTAGACACAGTCTATCAAAATTGGTTAAATTGTTTCTTCTATTTCCCTCCAGGCCCGGGCCACATGCAGGATCCTAACATTCTGATGAAAAAAACAAAAGTTAATATGGTGGGAAGCAAGCAACCACAAGTGCACAAATCCAGAAGGAGAGAGAGGGATCACCTGGCCCAGTGTCTCATTTCACAATCCCAACATCCTTACTTTGCTGGGAATGCTGCTCTGATCCTTCTCCTCTTCTGGAAGCAAAGAGATTAAGAGGGAAAGAAACAATGCATAAGCAGAACTTCTCTCAAGCTAAAGAAGGATCTTAGCATAATCCAGTCATTAGCCTTTCAAAAGAGAACTGAGAGAGAAGCTGTAACAGTTTGTACCTCAGTACAGGGACAACATCCACGCCCTTATTCTAGGAGTGTTTATAATTCTTCATTGTACAAATGTTATGGCCTTTTCAAATTTATACCTTTAAGAGTACTTAAAAATTGGAGATAGGGGCTACAGTTGTGGCACAGTGAGCTAAGTCACAGAGTGTGATGCTGGCATCCTATATGGGCACAGGTTCATATCCCAGCTGTCCCACTTCCAAGCCAAGTCCCTGCTAACTGGTTGGGAAAGCAACAGAAAATGGCCCAGTGGTGTGTGCCCAGCCACACATGTGGGTGACCTTTCTGGCTCTTGGCTTTGTGGTCATCTGGGGAGTGAACTGGAGGGTGGAAGATCTTTATTTTTCTGTCTCTCTCTCTTTTTTTTTTTTTTAAGATTTATTTATTTTTATTGGAAAGGCAGATATACAGAGGAGAAGAGACAGAGAGGAAGATCTTCCATCCAATGGCTCACTCCCTAAGCAGCCACAACGACTGGAGCTGAGCCGATCTGAAGCCAGGAGCCAGAAGCTTCTTCTGGGTCTCCCATGCGGATGCAGGGTCCCAAGGCCTTGGGCTGTCCTCAACTGCATTCCTAGGCCAAAGGCAGGGAGCTGGATGGGAAGCAGGTCTACTGGGATTAGAACCGGCGCTCATATAGGATCCCAGCACGTGCAAGGCAAGAATTTTAAGTGCTACACTATTGCGCTGAGCCTTCCTTTTGTCTCTATAACACTGGCTTTCAAACTAAATATGTAAACATTTAAAAAAATTCAAGGTGATAATAATAATGATCATAAGTCACCCTGCAAAAAGGCAGAATTATTTCATCAATTTGGGCATTGGGCATTGAATAGTGACTCTGCGTCAGTTACCACTTGAAGTGAAATCAATCTATTTTATAAAGATATGTCTTCTTATTCCAAATAAAATGTTTCTTAGGTACTTCATCTCATTTACAATTGGGTCAATTTAAAAATTCCAGTTGAAGCCAATACTCTATTCCTCCATTTCATCTAAAAATGGGGATCAAACATTACTCTTATGCTGTAATTATAAATATTAAAATTATCTATCTATCTATCTATCCATCCATCCATCCTCCATCCATCCATCCATCCATCCATCTAACTGATCCATAGATATTAAGGCAGCCTTAAGAAATAGCCAACATGGCACATAAACCCTCAGATGCTGGAGTGCTGGGTAATGTCCTGGCTACTCCAAGTGATCCAGCCCCCTGCTAATGCACCGGGGAGGCAGGGCATAACGACCACTGGAGTTCCTGATTCAGCTGTTGCAGGAAATTAGGGAGTAAGCTGGCAGAAGGAGATTCTCACTCTCTTCTTTTTCTTTCTCTCTCTTCTGTGTTGTTCTCCTTTTCAAGTACATGAAAACAATTTTAACAAGGGAATTTGAAAAAAAAAAGGACAAGACAAATATTCAGGAAGTAAGCATGAACCATGGTGTAAAGAAAAAACAGGGCCCGACGCAATAGTGTAGTGGTTAAAGTCCTTGCCCTGAACACACCAGGATCCCATATGGGTGCCAGTTCTAATCCTGGGAGCTCCACTTCCCATCAAGCTCCCTGCTTGTGGCCTAGGAATGCAGTTGAGGATGGCCCAAAGCCTGGGGACCCTGCACCCACGTGGGAGACCCAGAAGAGCTCCTGGCTCCAGATTGGCTCAGCTCCAGCCATTGCGGCTGCTTAGGAAGTGAACCATCGGATGGAAGATCTTCCTCTCTGTATATCTGCCTTTCCAATAAAAATAAATAAATCTTAAAAAAAAAGAAAAAAATTAAGAATTAATTTTTTTAAAAAAAATTAAAAATTAAGAATTAAAAGAATTAAAAGATAGGTCAGTATATATATCACAGTGCTTGGGTTGTTAGGAATTAATATTAGCTGCATAATTCACTGTCCATCAGTTAAAAGTAAAGTGACTATTCAAGAGATACAAAGGTAATTCTGATTGTAACACCTGAAAGAAAATTCTTCCTTAGGCCCTCATAAAGAAAACAATGTATAATATAATGTTTTCAACAACCTCCCTCCTGTGAACACATTGCTTCATTGCTTCAGTAAAAATACTGGAACATATCTGAGCCTCTGAGCAGCAGAAGCTACAGCCTTGCAGGATTTTATCAGGGGCTTGCACAACGATGGACTATTCTCTGATGATCTATAGTGACACTTCCAAAGGATGACTTCATCTTGAAGGAATCTGGCTACGAAACACAGTGATAAACAGGCCTAAGTAGGAGCTATATTAGATCCTCATCTGAGTCTCTGTTGCTTAGAGAGTGGTACAATGGGCCCAGCGCAGTAGCCTCCAGGTAAAGTTCTCACCCTGCATTTACAGGGATTCCATAAGGGTGCTGGTTCTAATCCTGGCAGCCCTGTTTCCCATCCAGCTCCCTGCTTGTGGCCTGGGAGGGCAGTCAAGGAGGGCCCAAGGCCTGGGGACCCTGCATCCACGCGCCAGACCTGGAAGAGGCTCCTGGATCAGCACTGCTCTGGCCATTTCAAGTACATGATGATCCTTTCTACCTTCCCACCTTCATGTCTTTTTTTCCTTTCACTTTTAACAATGACACACTTTCAACTTACTTTATAATCACAGGCTTAATCTTTCACTAAATAAACAATTCAACAAGTACAAAGATATATACTATACTATAAACAGTATTTCTCTGTACCACTGCTATCCTGTGCATAAATGCAGAGATGAAACGAGTATACCTATAACAACAGTTTGGGGTACGTTCATTTTATTAGATAAACAGAATAAAAAGTGTTATAGAATCAAATTTCTCTAAATTGTTTTTCTCAAAAAAAAAAAAAAGCTTTTCCTATCAAATTGATAAAATTTATAAGCAGTGAATGGTACATACACAAAATACGACCTGGGGCTCCCCATAATTGAATCTGACAGGCAATGCGTACTCACTTTCGTTGCAGCAGAAGACAGTAATCAACAATGACAGGTACCATATCCTGCAGGGGAACACAAAACAGCATGAGACCCACACCCCTGCCCAACAGCCCACTGATAACGAAAGAGTTCTGCTTCGGATGATGTTAAGACTATTGGCAGGATATTGGGTTCTTTGATGCTTTGGGTAAGCAACTTGGCAACACCTATCAAAGGTCCTAAAACTATGGAAACACTTTGACTTGGCAATTTTATTTTCAGACATCCATACTGAATACATGAAAGAAAAAAAATGCTGAATGCATTAAGGTATTCACTGCAGTTTTACAGGAGAAAGACCTTTAAGAAAAGGAGGGAAAGAGGAAGTGGGGAAGGAGAAATTTTGAAGAAATTAAAAGAAGAAGAAATTTGAATTGAGTTTATTACACAAAATGAAAAAGCAGTTCAGCGAATTTAAATAAAACGTTACGTATATTTGTTAAGTTTACAAAGAGCTTACAGTATCATTAAAACAAATATTAGGTAAAAATATATATTCATCTTACAGCATTGTAAAGAAAACTTACAAAAAAAAAAAAAACTTACAAAAAAAAAAAACCAACCTCCCTCCTGTGAAAATATGTCAAATTAGTAAGAGAAAACAGCTGGTTCTTTTCAGTAGCTCAAATGATTAAGGTCACTCATATTTTGTCACAGTCCTCCAAACGGGCTATTTTCAGATTGATCTCACTTCTCAGTTTCACAATATTTTGACTTCTTTAAATCCATCATGTGTATGCCCCTGGGGCTAAGGGGTGACCTGTTTCCTTTAGTCACCAATCTTCCTCATAACCAGATCTAAATTCCACTCTGATTGTTCAAAGCCAGGAACTAAAAATAAGATCGCAGCAGGTTTTCAGCACAGAGATTCAGACGCTACTTGGAACACCTGCGTCGCATATCAACGTGCCTGGGTTCAAGTCCCAGCTCTGCTCCTGATTCCAGTTTCCTGCTAATGTGTACCTGGGGAGGCAGCAGGTGACGAGTCAAGTTCTCGGGTCTAGGTCACTCATGTGGGGAGACGTGGATGGAATTACTGGGTCCTTGTTTTGGCTTGGCCCAGTTCCAGCTGCTGGGGCATTTAAGGAGTCTATGAGCAGATGGAATCTCTCTCTCTTTTTTCTGTCTCTTCAAATAAAATAAAAATAAATAATTTTAAATAATAATATATTTAAAAAAGAATTAGAGTTATACCAAACTCAACGTTGAATGAGAACACAGTGGGTTAGATCATCTGGGCTGAAGATGGAAACAATGAGGAAACTTTAATGAATATCTCAGAAAAGTTGTGGCTGAGCTCCCAAGAAAATATGAGCAATATCTGAGGCCTAACAGCGACAAGAGGACTGAAAATGAAGCAAGTATGAAGCTATCAGTAAGACTATCCCATGGTTCTGTGGGTACAGTAAAGCTCTGGGATCACTGTCATAAAGGAAGCTTGTATCTCAGACTTTTGCGGCATAAGGACTCGTAGTGCAGGAGCTGTCTTGATGCAAGAGACCTGAGACTTCCACATCTTCAGTGGAGGGTGATGGGGCTGGGGCGGAATCTAGCTACTGGCACTGGAATATAAGGATGGCTGCCTGTCGCAGCCTGAGCTCAGCCTGATAATTTGTTATCCAAATACTGCTTGCAGGTGGATTTGGGATTTGAATTTACACTATCTCCTTCATGTGGGAACAATTAAATCAAGAAGTTGATCTAGGGGCCAATATTGTGGCATAGGTAGCTAAACTGCTGCCTGCAACTCCCTCATCCCATACTAAAGCTCAGGTTCAAGTTCTGATTGCTCTGCTTTCAATCCAGCTCCCTGCTAATGTGCCTGGGAAAGTAGTAGAAAACAGCTCAATTACTTATGCCCCTGCCACCTATCCATGTGGGAGACTTGCACGGAGTTCTGGACTCCTAGCTTCCCCTCCCACCCTGGACAAGCTCCAACTGCTGTGGCCATGTGGAGAATGAACCAGTGGATGGAAGATACCTCCCCACCACCCTGGCCCCACTGCACCCTCCACCTCCCTTTATAACACTTTGCCTTTCCAAAAAAACAAATCTTTTGGAAAAAAAATAATAATTTAAAAAATGCAATAAAAAAAGTAGTTCTAAAAAAAAGAGAGGATATTCCTGGGGCAATTGAAAAAAAGTAAATTCAGAAACATCTGAACATGCCATGGGTAGACTGCAGGGTTTACTGGAGAATGACGCCATTTGGACAGATTCCTGAAATGACTGTAGCGGACAATCTAAAAATTCAACATAGGCTATTACAGCAAAGAAAGAGTCATGGGTTAAGCTACAGTGTTGGTGGCAAGTATACAGAGTAGACAGAATCAGGAGTTTAGGGAACAGTTTGGCCATGGTGGGAAGACACTGGAGGAGTCTGAACTCTAAGGTTTCTAGTTGGGAGTGATGGCTGAATCAAGATGACACAAATGACATGAGCAATATGAGAGGAAGAAGCTAAGCGCAGCTTGAGACACAGCAGAGATGAGAAGCCTCTAAGACGTTCAGTTCTGAGAAAACTGCCATCGCAAGCTGAAACACCTAGGTTAGAATTACAGTTGTCTGAGCCAGGTGCAGTAGCCTAGCAGCTAAAGTCCTCGCCCTGCATGGCCAGGATCCCATATACATGCCGGTTCTAATCCCGGCAGCCCTGCTTCCCATCCAGCTCCCTGCTTGTGGCCTGGGAAAGCAGTTGAGGACGGCCCAAGGACTTGGGATTCTGTACCCACATGGGAGACGTGGAAGAAGCTCTAGGCTCCTGGCTTCAAATAGGCTCAGCTGCGTCCATTGCAGCCACTTGGTAAGAGAATCAGTAGAGAGAGGATATTCCTCTCTGTGTATCTGACTTTCCAATAACAATAAAAATAAATCTAAAAAAAAAAAAGGAATTACAGATGTGTAAGTTATCAGAGGAAACCCTGTATACAATCAACAGCAAGGAGTGTTCACCCTAGTGGCCAAGTCGCCCAAGGCTCACATCAGAGCTCCCAGACTTGATTCCTGGCTCAGGCTCCTGACTCAAGCAAGCGTCCTGCTAATGCAGACCCCGTGTGGCAGCAATGATAGCTCAGGGAATTGGGACAGACCTACCATCTGGGACACCTAGACTCCTGGCTCCAACCTTGGCCCAGACCGGGCAGTTGTGGGTATTTGACAAGTGAATCCCTGGGAGGAAAGCTACCTCTCTCTCTCTCTCTGTGTGCCTCTCAAAACAAACAACCAACCAGTCAACAATGGACTAAATCCAGGACAAAATCAGTATTTATGAAATCTCAGAGGATGGCAACAAAATCCAACTCAGGAACAATCACAGAGGCTTAAAAATCAGAAGTAGACATCTTTATCCATTTTTATTCCAGATCTGATAGAATATATAAAAATAACCAGAACTTAAGTGCGTTTAGCAAGACTGCAGGAAAGATAATCAACATCTAAAATTAACTATTTCCAGATACTAGAAATAAACAAGCTCAAATTAAAATCAAAATTTAAAAAATAACATTAAGAGTAGCATAAAAAAATAAAAGAAAAAAATTGAATGTCATTATCAAAAAATATACTATAAACCAATATAAAAAGATCTCCATGATATTTTCAGTGGAGAAAAACAGTGTACCAAACAGGAAATATAGTTTTCTATCATGCTCTGAGAAGGAAGAAAATATTAATACGTGACCAGATAAAAATATTTATATCTGATGAATACACTCAAAAATAGTAACAATGGTGAAAAGCACCTGGGAATTTGGCACTTGAGTGGGAGGGAGGCATTTCATACATACATTTTTATGCTTTTTATTTTAATTAAAGGAACATATTCCTTATCCAAAATTAAATTACCTGAATGTTTACAAAAGAATAAAATCAGAGAAGACAACTATGTAAAGTTAATCTCAATTCCATGGAAATGTAACTGGCTAGCATATGCAGGAGAAGATACACCAATCCATGGGGAAAATCATGCACTGTAACCCAGGCAAATGACTAGGTGTTGATGATGGCACACATTCAACAGAACAAACACGCCTTACAGTCTGAAACAGTAACTACCAGACGGTCAACAATAAGGTATGATCAGAGTTCAGAAAGGGGAACACAGAATGACAGGAAAACGTAGAACAAGGAGGTATAACCTAAATCTGCCTCCCTGAATAAGTGATAATTAAGTGGAGACCTGAGAATAAGCATGAACAATCCAACTTACTGAATGCAAAGCAGAATGCCCAAGTAAGAGAGAATAAAAACAGTAGCAGCTTGTGGAAGAAGGTTGGAGATCAGAGAAAACAGAGGAGATTAGGGAACCAACAGGCAGTGTGACCAGAACAAGGAGAGACTGGTATGCAATGAGGAAACAGCAAGGAGGAGTCTGAATTTTATTCTGAGGGCCAGGAAAATAAGGGTATGAAACGAAAAAATTAATTTTGACAAGATTAAAAGTGGTTTAGTCTTTCTACTTTTGTTACTCATATAAATGAAAACATATTAGAATACTTCCACAGATCACTGCTATATGTCACCTGTCAACTCTCATTCTAGGAGAATCACGATTGCGGAATAGGGTAAGGACACATTTAAATGGACTGAGAAACATTTAATCAGGATGAAGCAGAGAGGACACATTCCAGGAAATAGGAGAGGGCAGAACAACAGTAGAGGGGTTCCTGGAGACTGACAGACACAGGGAAGCAGAGGACACAACGGTGTGGTGTTGCAGTGACTGATACTCAAGCAGCATTCAGCTAACAGCCATCTGAACTCCACCAGCAACCAGGTGGGAAGGAACTTTCACTGGGAGCTTGGGAGGTGAACCCAAAGAACTGTCCGTCCTGCTGGTCCGTTTGATTTAACCAGGAGCAGAGACAGAGCAGCAGATCCCAGGCGGGGAGTGCAAGAAAAGGGTAGATTTCACAGCACCATCAGCTCCCTACTGCAGAATTGGGTACTATTTTGTGTAAGGAGGTAAAGGCAAGAAAAAGGACTTAGCATGCGCTGGATTGGGAGTGGATTTATTTCTGACTCA